CGAATTGAAATGCACCGTGTCATTCGGAGAGCTGTTGATAATGTTTTAGCAACGTTATTGAGTCGCATGAGGCGAGCAAAATATTAGAAATTAGCTCTCTGTGTGATGCAGAGTCATTTCCCCCACCACTGCTAACTACAACCACAAAAATAAGACTATTGTTAAATTAGTAACTGTATATTTCAGTCAAAGCATTCGGCTGGATTTTTGTTACAGTTTTTCTAAAGGTTTTCTTATCTTATCTTATTTTCCCACTCTACAGGTCTTATTAAATATACACAATACCGAGGTGGTGATTGGCATCGCACTCACTGAAGAGAGTCTTCACAGAAGAAATATCAGCCATTTTGGACCCACCACCCTGCGGTCCACCTTGTGCTACGGCATGCTCAGGTACAGTCTGCAGTCTTACCTGACGCTGTTTAATTAGATAAGTTTTAGCTATATTGCGTCGTGAGTCTGAATGAAATGTTTTGTTTTTTTTTGTCGTCATTTTAAGTTGGGCTGTGTTGTATTTAGTATAACACCAAATGTTGGCTTCATGACTATAGATAAAGTGAAAAAAAACGCATTTATTTGGGGATTTGTGTAAGGTTCAAAACCACGAATGAAAAATTTGTGACAAATGATGCAATTTATTTCCAAGCAGTTCATTTTGACGCCGCAAGATGGTGGAAGTTAGCTTTGTACTCACTGCCAGCTTGACGGCAGTGGCTTACTTAACCGTATTCCGCGTAAACTTTCTTTCACAAAGGCATTACCTTATTTATGTTGATCTAACATTGCATTTACAGTAGAAAGTGTGTGTATTATAACAGAGCTTGTAAACCACATGTACATGCATGTATTTAGGGTGGAGTGGTACGTGATTTTTGTGAACTGCCTCAAGGCATCCATTTTGTCGTTTGTGTTCATATCTGATTATGTGCTGACAGGTTGTCAAAACCTCAGCCTTCCGATATTGTACTTGATCCAATGTGTGGAACTGGTGCAATACCCTTAGAGGTAAGAACTCAACTCAGAGAAAGAAAATAAATAAAGTCAGGGAACTGATGGCTTGCATTTAACTGTCACCTGATATGTATGTTTCTCCAGGGAGCCTTAGAATTTCCAGCGTCCTTTTACCTTTCTGGGGACAACAATGATATGGCCGTAAACCGCACGGTCAATAATGTGTGTCACATTCAGAAAAGGAAGGCGGACAAGGGCAGGTGGGCATCATTCACATCAATTTAAACCTGATGGATGATTTTCCATCACTGCTTTTAATGTGGGGATTTTGCATGATTTGCCTCTCTCTCCCCCAATCAGGAATAATGGTAAGCTGCATCCATGTATCCATTTTCTATTTCGCAAAGGGGTTTTTAGGTCACGGGTAACCTGGAGCAGTTGACCTTAGGCAAGGAGTGAGCTACATCCTGGACTAGCCGTCAGCCAATCTCAGGGCACACAAAGACTAACATTTATTTCACATTCACATCTATGAGTGATCCAAACTCATCAGTTCACCTTGCATGCATGTTTTTTTTTTTTTTTTTTTTTGGTGGTGGGGGGGAGGAATGAAACCCCCGCAAAGCACCGAGACAACATGCAAACTCCACACAGGAAATCCTGAACCAGATCCTCCGGTCTAGACTGTGAGGCAGACATGCTAATATCAAGGTCACTGAGTTGCCTAGCTGCAGACGGCAAACTTTATTTCCTCACGTTGCGTGCCGGCATGTTAATTCAAATGCAAAAAGTACCAAGTGTCTCAGAGCCAGACCGTCCATTTGTAAAAATGCATTTATTATTTTTTTTTTTATACTCTCTTATACTCTAGAGCCAGACCGTCCATTTGTAAAAATGCATTTATTTATTTTTTTTATACTCTCTTATACTCACACATACTACATATTTGATCTCGCAGTAATGGTAAAGCAATGGTAAGTCATACACGTTACTCTTAGTATAATCACGGTCTCAGACTGTGCCAATTAAAGCAACATTAGTACTCTGAGTCCCGGGACATGCTGTAATAGCACCTTTTAGTTTGTTTAATTGAATTTGCAAATTTGACTTTCACAAACCACTGGACATGTTTAGTGGGAAAAGGCTGCTTGTAAACATGCCGGCCTCTGGAGTTAATGATCCCGCTAATGACTGGGCGTGTGAAATACCTTTCAATTCCCGAGGCTGGATTTTCAAGGTGAAATGAGGACTCACGTTTCACTTCCTCTCCCACGGGTGTTGCAAAGTAATTATGTATTTATTGCTTATTCATCGCACTCGGTGCAGGACATTCATTTTTATTCTAGTTGACTAAATAAGTTATTCTCCACAGCTTGTAAGTTTGAAACTTGATCTTGAAAGGGCTTGACAATCGTTTGTGCCTTTGTTTGCAGTGCACCTGGGCTGCCTATTGACACGGTCCGCTGGGATTTGTGCAGTTTACCGATGAGGTCCAGCTCAGTTGATATCATCATCACGGACATGCCCTTTGGGAAGAGGTAGAAAATCAAGGCGCACATACCAAGTTTTAAAACAGCCAGGTTAAAAGTAATCCAAATGGAGTGAAACAGCCAACCCAGCATTGGGTCATTGCTGGGTTATTTATACCCAGCGCATGTTAGGCTCAAGATTTTGATCCATCAAGGGGTAAAAACTACGAGACGCGGGTTATCAGGATAGCTGTGGTTCTGAATAATTTATATTATCATTTTATTAGTGTCCAAAATGGCGACTAGCTTCAGCCCTTCAACCCACCCAAATCCAATCTTCAACCGAACCTGCTGGGTCAAAATAAGAAACCCAAACTTGATATAAAAAAAAAAGTAATTCAATCTGCTCAAAATCCACACAGTGAGTAGGTTAGGAAAACAACCCAGCATTTTTCCACGTGAACTACCGGTATTTGAGAGGCAACTCTAATTATGTATAAAGATTAACGAGATGTGTACTTTTGAAGGATGGGCTCCAGGAAGAAGAACTGGGACCTTTACCCGTCCTGCCTGAGAGAAATGGCGCGCGTGTGCAGGCCGGCCTCTGGGAAGGCTGTGCTGTTGACACAGGACAAGAAATGTTTTTCCAAGGTATTTTCCTTGTCATGGCGAGTCATGACGCTTGTTTGGTCGATGGCGTCTGCCTCACGCAAATATGACTTCCACATAAAAACCAAATTAGAGAGGCTGTGGGTTCGTTCATGTTTGCATGATGACATCCCATAAACTTGATGGCATCAAGGGAGTGACCGATCTGTGAATCGGAATGCGATGAAAGGAAATGGAAATGAACTCTTCTAGCGAATTTCACCGCAGTGTGAGCTCGCGGCATAGATCGAGGCATATCCATCTGTCTTTGCCACGACGACACCTGAACAGTCCTATCGAGGGAAGCGCAGCCTTTCCCGGGGAAGCGCTCGCTCCTCAGGTGGTGTTGACGGCGGTTTAATTCGCTTCTGAAACATAAATCATTCACACTCCGTTGCTGCCACATTCGACGCTGTGTCTAAAGATGTATCCGTGACGTGGATTTATATGCTCTGCAGGCTCTCTCCAGAATGGGGGGATTGTGGAGGAAGCAGCACACTGTTTGGGTCAATGTCGGTGGTTTACACGCCGGAGTGTTCCTGCTCAGGCGGACCAGCGCCTTGTTTGGCCAAACTCCCGAAGACATCTATGAATCACAAGACTCGACACGTACACAAGGAGATCAGGACGACAGCCAGCGTTAGGTTACGGTTTTGCCTTACACTATCCCACATATGTTGGATGAACATACTTTAAGATTTTCTTTGCTAATTTTAAACTTTTTTTTTTCTCAATTTTCATATCAAGTGGCCAAATCTTGTTTTTTGTAAACAGGCAAACAAAAAGGAAAGCCTTTGTTGACTTCACTTCTAATACAAGAGCAAACCGTGAGAAATTGGTTCTCATTAGTATGCAGGTGTACCTACTGAAGTGGCCCACGAGTGCACATTTACTGTTAGGCAGCAAGTTAAGGTTTCATCAATAAAAGTTTTTAAAAAAAAGCCGCTGTCATGGGAAGAGTCCCAAGTTGTACACTACTGGTCAAAGGTTTCCTCTCAGTTTCTCATTCCAGACCACTCTCCATTGTATCCATACTCTTGACTTTTAGTGCATGTTCAATGTGCAGTAAATGATTAAACTTATTTGAACCACGAAAGAAGAACACACTGTGGAATTGTCAATCAAGATTTGCATGTAGTAATGTCTGTTGGACACATTTTCGACTGACACTTCAGTGTATGTGATATGAATCCAACATACGTGTTTTTGGAATGTGGGAGGGAGCTGAAGGAGCTGATTTCATCCACGCAGCACAAAACACAAAAACTGCAAAACAAAAAACAAAGCTGAGATTCAAACCCTTGAACCTCAGAACTGTAAAGCAGGTATGTTAACCATCCAGGCCCATATTGCTACGTAGCTTTGCAGTCCATTGCTCCCAAACTTTGGAATGCACTTCCTTTTGAGCTGAGAGCTGCCTCCTGTTGGAATTTGTTTTTTTCAGCAGCTAAAAAACATGTTTTGCCTGTACAGATTTTTCAGCATCATTTTATAGCAAAAATTCCAGATTTTTTTTTTTAACGTAAGTACAAAAGTGCTCTCGAGACTTTATGACAGTTGCATGATAAAGCTTCATCATCGTGTGATTTTAAAAAAATGAAACGAAGATGAATGGTTTTTAATCCCCCCCTTCATGTGACCTACAGCTTGTGCTACTCAATTGAATTGAATATTATGGTGGGGTTGAGTAAAAAATAACTGGTTGAAAAAGTGTGCGCACCCGCTTAAAACTAAATACGGCTGTGTTCAGTATCAACCGATCCTGTTCAAACTTCTGTTTGTTCCATCGGAGTCAGCACACAACTGCCACCGTTTAAAGTGCTACCGAACAACTCCAAATAGGCTTTTGCTGATAGTTTGATCAATTTGTTGTAGCAACAAGTGTTGAGTGACGCAGTCGGACTGGGCCAATTCGTTGGACGCGAGGTCGTGACGTTTGGAAGGAAGGAGCAGCCACCGGCACGCGCGGGTGGTTGTTGGCTGTTAGGCAAGTACCTTTTTAAAACAAGTGACAGGAGCGGCACGAGCACATACACGCTCGACCACGTCAAGGGCAACTTCCACACGAGATGATCTTCACTGTCTTCCTACTGGTTCAAGTCGTGCTGCTCTACTTCCTCGCCACGCACAGATCCAGGTTGGGGTTTTTTTTTTCCAGATGTCTCTTATCTAAAGAAGCTAACTTGCTTTTACCTGATGGCGCAGCGCTCTGATTGGATTTGACTTTGTGCTTCAGGTCCGAGAGGGATCCACCTCTTGACAAAGGCGCTATCCCGTGGCTTGGTCACGCAATTGAATTCGGAAAAGATGCAGCCAAGTTCTTGAATCGAATGAAGCAGAAGCATGGCGACATTTTTACAGTGAGTATATACGCCACTGAGAACTCTACTATCTCACGTGTGTAAATGAACATCTTTTAAGATGGACAAATCTATTCCAAAAGAGCGTTAAAATACAAACGGAAAGTTCCTTTGGGTACAAATCCCAACTTCCCAATATGTGAATAACATGTCCAGGTTCCGTGGTCGAAGCAAAAAAAAATTACCACATACTTTTTGTTGTTGTTCTTGTTGTTGAACACAATTTGTGGCTTCACTCATTATAAACTAAAATAGCAAAATACACCGTACATGAACATACACAACCAGCGCAATACAATCGCCGTATCCAACAACAGTGTTCAATTATCATCAACATTGTCATAATTATTCCTTTTTAATCTGTTCACGGTTGTGGTTGTAATTACCGCAGAGTACAATAGCACTGTGTCATGATGACAGCAGTCGAATACTTTGCTTACCGCATATGAGTTGTGTGTATATAAACAGTGCCTACACAATGTCAAGGCTATTTCCAGAAATATACCCATTAAAGAGGAGTGAATCTAATGACTGAATACAAAAAAATTAAACAGCATGTCAATAGTTTCTAGATCAGGGGTCACCAACGTGGTGCCCGCGGGCACCAGGTCGCCCTCGAGAACCACACCAATAGCCCGCCAGTGCTAGGATTGTGATTTGCTCGTAGAAATTATAATTTTAAAATGCAAACACGGGCCGTATTGTGAGACATCTTTAAGATGATCAGAGCCTGAAAATTAAAA